GCTATTACTTAGAATAATTTAACACAGCACTTAATCTCCTCATGCATTGTTAATCTTTCCAGAGAAAACGTGCCGAGGAGGACGATAACAGAAAGGTGAAAACTGAAAAAGGAAAAAAGGTTTGATCTCAGATGTACTTTTTAAATCGATCAGAATATCATTATTTATCCACAGCCTTTCTTTACATAGGAGATAAGAAGATTGAGGGTGCGTTAAAAAATACAAATATTTAACTCAGCATCTCAAGACTGTCCACGGATAGACCCAGAAGGAAGCCCTTGAGATTTCGTCACAGAATCGGGCCGTTCAAGTTGGAGTGTTGCAAAAGTGAAAGCCATTCCCCTGCCCAGTCGAAGGTTGTGCCATTCCAGTGGCAAGAGTGGAACTTCACTTACGAAGGGTCCACAAGTTAAATAGAGAGGACCCTGAACACCGCAGGTTAGCTGGTTGAAAAAATTTTAATTCCTTCTTGTTGTCATACAGAAGTACATCCCCCTAACCGAAAACAGTAACTCATTCCTACCCCCAAACAATCATTCCTTCCACTCTTTTGTCGGGTAAAACGAAGAAGTGTCGCTCGCAAGAGCAAAAGATAAGCATGCTAAAGACATTGCCGCGAAGAAGACAAAGAGAATAAAAAAAAAGGAAGACCCAGGATCTGCAGCCAGACCCATCATTACACAGGGAGGATGTGACACAACAGCATCAGGAGCTATCGTCTTCAGAGTCTGAGATGGACACAACTCCGCTGGGCCTGATGCTCGTGGAACCGTGCCCCCCGAAAGAAGACCCCGACAAGGGCACTAGAAAAGAATTCGAGAGCCTCCCTGCCCTTCAATTGTTCAAACACCATTTGAAGGACTTTGAGGGGGGCTCGAGAAAACATGAAGTTGCAAAGGATCACACAAGGCAGGTATGTCGCCTACTTTATGAATTAGAAGATAGCCCAACGAATGTGAAACCCCTTTGGGACAGCAATAATTTAAACGTGTTAAAGAACAATTTCTTCAAGGGCAATGACTTGCTTGGAGAGGAGGATAAGAGACATCCAGCGACTCTAAAAGTCTATATTATCTTGCTGCGGTTGGAGACCTGGCCAAAGGCATTGACCGATGCTATGAATAAAATAAAGGCTGATATCCGTTTACAAGACGTGTAAGAAAAGCTCGGCGACTACAAGGTGTTTTTTAATAGCGCAAGAGCGAAAGAGATCCAAAAAATGTACGCCGACCTAAAAAAGCAAGAAGATCCCACCGTCAGTATCAATGACTTCGCGGCGATGAGGGACTACCTTCTCCTTCGGGTGTTAGTTGCGAGCGGCTAGCAGTGCATGGTCGCGTCAAATTTAACAATTTACAAATTCTTAAACGGCACCTGGACAGACAACAACCACATTTATGTAAGCCGAACCCTCCGCCACAAAACGTCGTCCAGAGGGCCGGCCAAATTATTGTGGGACGCAGAACTGAAATCATACGCTGATATCTATCTCAAAAAACCACCAGCTCAGTGGCACCACAGTGACAGTTGGTATTTGTAGTATTTGTAGCATGCGATAAGTTAATAATTAATCTCGAAGCATGTAACAACGTTGATTGACATTTGTGATAAATCATCATTCAGTCTATTCTATAATGGCGACGAGGATGTAAAAATAAACAGCGTGGAAAATATAACAGAAAACTAGAATGGCGGCACAAAACATACAGCCTATGCCTGCTTTTGAACCAAGGAGTGATCCTACAAGTACAAGTGCCAGATGGACACGATGGCTGGAGAGATTCAACACATATTTACTCGCAGCAGATATTAAAGACGATGCGAGAAAGCGCGCTTTATTATTGTATCAGGCGGGGCCCGAAGTACACAAAATTTTCAAGACTCTAGAAGAGGGTGAAACCAAAGATTTTAAGTCAGCAGTGAAAGCGTTGACGGAGTATTTTGAACCAGAGAAAAACGTGATATATCGCACCTATGTTTTTAGACAAGCGATGCAAGGCAAAGAGGAATCAATAGACGAATTTCATACGTGTTTACGAGGCTTGGCAAAATATTGCGAATTTACAAACATAGATTTTGAAATTAAGATGCAGATTGTAACGAACGGCACTTCTTCAAGATTACGAAAGAAAGCACTACAAGACCCAAAATATAGTTTGGCAAACATGTTAATCGATGGACGAAAATACAAAACTAGTTCAGCTCAAGCTGTTGGGATCGAAGAACAATTCAAAACAAGGGAAAATATAAATGCAACTAATGCAATGGCTATGACAACGCCCACCGAGAAAAAGTGTTATTACTGCGGTTTCAAGTATCCACACGACAATCAACCGTGCCCAGCGAAGTCTGTCGAACACGAGGAAAATCTTTCTCAAGTAAGGGAAACCTTGAGAAATTACAAACGCAAGGTTTTACCTCCCCAGACAAAAGGCGCCAATCACGATGGGATGAGAATAAACAACGAAAACAACAAGCAAAGGCTGTTGGAATATCACAAAGCGAACCAAATACTGAAAGCTCGGAAGAAGAGGATTATGTTTACACAGTATCGCAAGAAACGAAGGAGAAAACACACACGACCGTAAAAATAAATGGACAGGACGTTTTATTTTTGGTTGACACTGGCGCGACTGTTGACATCATTGATTCTACGACATACGCAAAATTAAAGAGGAAAAGTTCATTATGTAAAAGTTCAACTAAAATCTATGCATATGGATTTCACACACCTCTGCCTCTAAACGGACAATTTCAAGCAACACTCGAATCGAAAAAGCGTTATACCGTTTCGCAAATATATGTAATAGACGGTGCAGGAGAAAATTTATTAAGTGGTTGACATTCAGTTAAAAAAATAGAGGGAGAGTAATGTAGTATTTGTAGCATGTGATAAGTTAATAATTAATCTCGAAGCATGTAACAACGTTGATTGACATTTGTAATAAATCATCATTCAGTCTATTCTATAGTATTCCCGCTATGCCACTATTCTTTATATCCACGAAAGGAAATCTGCTTGACGAGTCTTGGGCAAGCAATCGCCTTGCGCAGATGGGAAAACAGGTGGCCCATCAGCTAAGAGGACAGTGAAGAGTTCCCGTCTGCGCAAGAGCCTGGTAAGTTTGCAGCGAGAGGAAACCTTTGCTGCCGGGTCAAAGGCCCAGCTTGCCAAACAAATGGGGCACTCGGTCGAAACAGCGGAGAAGTATTACAATTTAGAAGTGGAAGGTGATGCAAGTGTGCAACAATTGATAGACAGGCTAACTCATGGAACCGTGCCCCACACCCAGGAACACCAACAGAGGTGGGAGAAAGAAGGTGAAAAGGAGACCCCAGAGAAGGACGAGGGAAGGGCAAGGGTGGAGAGAAGGGTGGTCAGGATGATGAACAATCTTCCAAAGACTCCGATTCGCTGATGGACAACATCTCGATTGCAAGGAGACACGAGATTCTGTGTTTGTTCGGCCACTTCCTGCTGACTGGCCGAATTATCTTAAAGCCGATAGTGGAAGCTAGGATGTCCAAAAACAGTCTGTTGAAAGACCTCGATGCCCAGACCGTGGTAAAATTTCTAGAGAACGAGAAAGCCCTACCCAAGCCGATGTCCGGTGTAGAAAAAGCAAAATCGTGGGTGGGATCGTCGGACTTTAACATGCCAGCCTGTTTGTCGGCATCTATGAGCTCAGCGACCGATAGTCGAGTGTTCACCCCCCTTGAGACAATGATAATAGAAGCTGTTGTGGATACCCTACCATACAAAGCCAGTGGGAGGCAATGCCTTCAAGCGATTGAAAAGGACAAAAATTGTCGGGAACAGCGCATAAGTGAACGATTTACAGAACAACAACTGAAAAACAAAGTGAAAACAATCAGGCGGAAAGCTCGTTAAATATGTATATATATTAGGGCCTGTTCATATGGGCAAAAGTTATCCAGGTTAGCAAGGAAACTTTTCAACAAGTTTACAAGCGAGATCTCGCCTTGGTATGAAAAATAATATGAAAAGTTACACTGCGTTCATATGAGACAAAAAGTATGTAGATTTTGGATGCAAACTGAATAAGAAATGCACAGTATGTTTGTATACTTTTTGGTACAGAAAACTGAATGTGTATGTGACCCTCCTTGGGAAAACATATGTTAACGTTTTGAAAAAACGGTCTAAAAAACCGTTCTGATACCGTTCAACATCCGTTAAAACGGAGAACACTAAACATTTTAACGCTTTGGCTAACCATTAAAACGGCTTGGCCTTTCCGTGAAAATGGTTTGCCCTATCCGTAAAAATGGTTTGACCTATCCGTGAAAACGGTCTGACATATCCGTGGAAAAGTTTTGATCATTCCGTTTAAACGGTTTGCTCTATCCGTCAAAACGGTTTTATTAAACAGATTGAAGGATAAATCAAACGGTAAATCATGCCGATCAAACCACAGAAATGTCTTGTTGGCATTGCTTTGCAGTAGGAAACTTGACAGCATGCCCGCTGAAAACGTATTGAGAAACCTTAGCAGCGACTAGCATATTCACATTAATTCACGCTACATAGCTGTTCATACATTAAAGCAAAGTTCTTTTAGTTTACGATTCATCTTATTCTATCCGTTTTGAAACAAATATGCATCCTTTGGATTTTCATGCTACCTCAACAGTCAAGGGCACACAGGTTGTCACCATGCATATAATATAAGCATGTTTCCAAAGCCCTTAATTTTCAAGCAACTTTTAATCAGTCACAATAGCTTGTGATTTAATTAACATCTCACAGATGAAACAGAACTATGGCCAGACGTTCTTAATTATAGTTCATAACTGAATATTTGTATGACAACTGCACATTTACATATATCTGAAGTGTAATGCTGCGAAAATGTTCCCATAATATAGCCTATACTGTATACTAATTAGTCATTGCAAATCATTGCGTGATATCAATTACAAATCAAAGTCATTGATGATATTG